CGCCTAACCGCAGAACTCTGTTGGCTTGTCCTGCTACTTGCCTAAGGTGAGCAATTAACTGGTCATCGTTCTCTGTGGAGAACCCAGGACTACGGTATGTGCAAACAATTGCTACTGCACTATGCGGTTGTTTTGGCAAGCACCCGATGGATTGAATGTTTGCTGTCCCTAGGTTGGTTATGGCTGCTTGTGTTAGATGTTCCGCAACTAGTATTAGGGAACCACCACCGATGCGACCGTCAGGGCGATCACATCGATGGAACAAAACACCTGGTGGTGTAATTCTGTGATGTTCAGATCCGATTTCCACCAAGCTTTAGTGACTGCTATGCAAGTGGCCGTCAGTACTTCTGTTGACATGTCGGCCCACATGTTCATTAGGCTGCAGGCATTGATGTAGAGAACATGAAATATGTGAACTGTGTGTTTCATTGGCGGTAAAGGCCTGTACACAAGGCTGGTTCTCGGGGTGCCCGCCGAGCGTTAGCCTCGGACGGAGAGTCCTTCCGATGTGGACTCCCGCGGATTGACGTTACAGAAGCATAAGACGCTGCATTTGCCGTGGACGTTGCGGTGCGCGGTTTTTCTAGTAAGAAACGAATATTTCGTGGTAGGGTCTGTCTATATGAGGAAGATCTACGGAGGCTTAGCACCAGCAAATGATCCGCCGTGCGGTTCAACTGTTTTATTGTATTACTCATGCGTTTGCGATCACTTGTCTGATTAATTTCTTTAGAGATGAGTTTAGAGTAAATGCCTCAGGTTGTTGAAGTTTGCACTTTTAAAGGAACGAACCTCCCTAAGACAAGACGTGACGCAGCTGAGCCAGCGTACTAGGAAGTGGAAACAGAGTACGATGTCGTCACCCTTACCTAAAGGGCAATGCTCTTGTATTTCGTCCGTGAGGTGACTATAACCTGTAATGACAAGGTCTATCAGTAAAGGAAATTACCCGTTTCGGAATCTGGTTGGGCTTGGACCATGAAAATTCCGTGATCAGGTCGACTAGTAGTCTTCCAAAGATATTATCCGGGGCGTGAAGTCTATTCCCGGGGCTTCTAAATCTCCACTTCTAAAGAGGTGTACATTAGAGCACATGGATCTTAAGTTATTCAATTGCTCTGTCAGAAATCGCGATTTTGGCTCGCCACCAGAGAGTGGACGTTACACCAGTGTCTCTGTGCGGTCAGTGGAATCTGGGCCGACAAGCAGTCAATGGAAAGAATGAGAGGAAGAAAAAACAGTCGCTTGAGGAGTTTGACATTCGTTTAGAGGGAGACACCACCTACTCGAATCCTCATTGAGTATCTGCTGAATAATGAGTGACCTGCGATGGATACTTTGCCATTGCTGTTTTATGGAGTCAGCCAGGTTTATGTGACAGCTAAAAGGTATGAGTTCTTTTCGACCACCAACTGTTTGACTTCCAGCATCTTTTTTGAAATGCTGAGACGTTTGGCGTAGATGCATTCAAGAGCCCAAAAACCAGAGATTTCAGTGTGCTCGGGGTTAAGAAGGGATCCTTTTGAAGGGCTCTAACTTGGGCATTATGTTTGTAATAAGACGACAGCGATGAGGATTGCAGAAAATTCTTCAACATGTTTGTTTCTACCTTGTAAAGAGGTCGGGAGGAAGAATAACATGGGATATGGGGTGAAAAGGGAGAGTTTGCGATCCCATATGGGAGTATCCGAAGGCTCCTTGTTACACATAGCGATCCGCTCTACAGGAAGAATGAAAAGTTGTGATGCCGACGACTCGGCTAGCGGGAGAAAAACGTGCTCCTGCGGAGTAAACTGATCTTATATGGCTTTGGATTGAGAAGCATCTTGGAGCTAGTTTTTATATTATTGCGATGAAGTGCGCTAGTGTCGAGGCGGTTGGAGAATGTCTGAGTATCCCCGCAGGAGATAGGATTTAGGCCTTGGGTATTTGTCGTATCTTGGGGGATGAAGCCTTTGTCATAGCTTGGAGGTCCACGCACGAGAGGGCAATTAGTGGGAGACAGTAAAAAGGGTGGTCACTCGCACTCTTATTACTTTCCATACCGGGTGTATTTGGCACAAGTCAATCAATCGTTAACAAGTATTTACAAGGGGGTTTAATTGTGGGAAATGATGACCATACATATCTGGGATTTGGTTCTCCTTGGTCTGTTTGTTGATAATTAGCTTCAAAACAAGCAACCTGGAAATGTGGAAGGAAAGCGAGACAGAGAGAACTTAAGATCAAAATACAATAATCACTGCATGGCACCCACCACCCGTCAACTATTGCTAGTATATCATCCCCCCTAACACAGTCAATGTTGTCCTGAACACCAAGGAAGAAAAAGATATCTTCTCCCTTCTTCCCCTAGTTCGGAAAATAAGTTTACCTAGCGCTCATTGAACTCCTTATTGAAAGCATGTATGCTTCTCAGCTCCACCATTTCCTTTGGTAACTTATTTCATGAGTTTACTACCCTTTTGCTGAAGAGGTTCGAACACGCAACTAGTCTTGTGCGCAATTTCTTCAGCTTATGCATTTACCCTCTAGTGTTGCTTTGTTTCCTCTCGAGGAACACTGCCTGATCTGTCCCTGATTGGCCATTTATAATTTTGAATGTCTCTATCAAGTCACCTGAGTCTCCTTCTTGCCAAGGAGAACAGTCTGAGATTCTGCAGTCACTGTCTACACGGCTTTCCTCGCTGTCCTCCGATCATCCTTATGTCCCGCCCCAGCTGATGAACTCGATGGAGCCACTGATCCAAATTCAGAGCGTATTCGGTTGATATGAGAGGGTCTCGTGCAAGAAACGGCATGCACAAATCGGATGGCGGTCATACGTTGCTCCTGGTTAACATCACATGGGTTTTCTGTCTGGTCGACGTATGAACCATACCTGGGTAGGCCAATAGGCGAGACGTGAGAGCCAAATCCCAGTCCTGTGTGGTGCATTCGCTAGTAAATGTCTTTAGTAATCCCTTCGGAGACCGGTTAGTTCGTTACGTTTGCCCAGCTTCTTGCGGATGGTAAGCTGGGATTTCGTCTTCTGGATGCTGAAGATTTGACATAATTCCGCGACCACCTCGTTCTAGAAACTGGACTTCTATCGGAATACAACTGGAAGTTTTGCCCCAGCGTGAGATCCGATAGTCGAAGTTTGAGCGCATGACTTTGACTGCAACTACAGACGGCGTGGATAATGCTTCGTACGACGTGGTAAAGTAATCGACTAAGAGAAGAGTGTGCATAATCCCGCGTTCAATCCCCGTCAGTGCTGCGTTTATATTCAGACCTATTATCTGGTTGGGGTATCCGGTCAGCATCGGTTATAGAAGTGCTCTGTGGTGCTGCGTTGGTGATTTAATTAGAATGTATTTGAAGTACGTTTTGCAGCAATTCATAACATCTCACCTATTTTGGGGTCATCTAAACCGACTCGACATAACGTGGTCCATTTGTATTGCCCGGGGTGACTGTAGTATTGAGAATAGTATTCCAAATGGAGCTCCACAATTCGCATGATACCAATCCCCGAAATAGAACAACTTCGAATCAAATAGCACACGAACTTTATTCCAATCGTATACTATGCATATTCAATGCAATTAAAGTGTACAAGGGATTTTCGAGGTCAGTCTCACACATCGCACTCGCCGCACGTTGAATTGGCCACAGGATTTCTGTGATGTAGTCGTCGCTTCGCACTTAGTCGTTCAGACTTTCGTAGGACTTATTCATTCACAGATAATTCTTTCGTAGCAGCTTTTTGTTCAACATTCCGTTCATCAGTAGTCCAAAGTTGCTCAGTATCTAGAAAAACATTATTAGACTCGGAAGCTACATCATGAAATGGAATTGACTGACTTAGATAGACAAAGCGAATTTGGTCTATATATCTTCTGTGTATAGACAAATCATCCTTGTCCAGTAGTTGAAGCACTCTTCAACCGAAAGACTTTAGGACAATTCCTGGAGACGGTCTCAAGTCATTACCACTGGAAAATACAACTTCAAAAGAATTAATACACAATAAATTGGATCTAAGATTTCGACCTCTGAAAGTTTAGCAGGTGTTTCTCGGTGTGTTTCTTGGGTGGAGGAATGAACAGAAACACGATATTGTAAAAGGAACAGATCAACACCTCTTTCAGGATCACAAAACATGGATGTATTCTAAGCAGTAATAGCCTTTTCAAGTGTTCTAACAAAATTTTCTGCTTGTCCATTAGAGCAGGGATGTCTAAGAGGAGTAAACAAATGTTTGCAATCAGGGGTGTGCAGCCATTCTGAAACATCTTTCGCGGAGAAATGACGGTCGCTATTAGTACCAAGCGCAGTAGGAATAACCTCCTGACAAAATCTTAGGACAAAGCATAAATAATAAAATCTGATGAGAACAATCTAGTGAAAAGTATCTCTGGCCACTTGGAGAAGGAGTCAATGACAACAAAAAGCATACGTTCCGTTGAGAAATGGACCACAATACTCAGCATGAACACGTTGCCAAGCTTCAGTCGAAAGAGGCCGCGGAACCCACTTGGATGACAACTGTCGAGCTTTGTGATAGCATTTAGGGCAGCTCTTTGCTTTGGAACATATGTCGGCATTCATGTTCGGCCATCAAGAAGTCAATCTAGCCAATGAATTCATCTTTTCTATCCCAAGATGGCCGGAATGCAGATCGTAAATTACAGCCTTATACAACGTCGGTGGAATAACAACTCTGTCATTCAAGTACAGTAATCCATCAGACGTATTTTAAAGTTCATCACGCCCAGCGTTGTGATATGGAAATCGCGTCCGGGTCCATGCGTTACAACCCTTCCGCAAAGCCGTCATCACAGCAGAGAAATCACGACGTGTACCATGAATAAGTTCTTGAAGACTCACAGGGAGAGGTTGTACTAGTAGTGAATCAGAGATGTCATGTGAGTCTGACGCGGGTAGCGAGTGACGCGAAATGTAATCTATGTGTCGAATGTATTGGTCACTGCAATGTTCAGTTGTGTAATCATATGCACTTAGGGGGATACTCCAACGCTGAACCATAGCTTCAGACCTTCTGGATAGGGATATCCTAGGATCGAAAGTAAATTTAAACGCCTCATGATCGGTAACGATGGTGAAATGATGACCGAAAAGGAACTTGTGGAGGTGCTTTACTGCCCTTTATACAGCTAAAGCTTCGCGATGAGTTTGAGCGTTTGAGAATTCAGCTGCTGTTAGCCGGCGAGACACAAATAATTGGATGCCTCTTCTGCTCAAGAATCGCACCAATTCCATCGGGTGAGGCCTCAGTGATAACAGCGGAAACTACCAGTGTCCAAATTCAAATGAAGTGAGTTACCAGTAGAACTGAATATTTGTTTACGAGTGTAACGCCCATAGGAGGTAATTTCTAAAGATAAAGAAGAAAAATGTTTGTCTATGTCAATCACTTTTGTGTCTTTGGATTGAGTTAGGCGACCAGTTTTAGTACTGCGAAACACAGACTAAATATGGCCGATTTTGCCACACTCGTATCACGAAGCATAACAAAATCGAAATGTGCCTTTCGAAGTCCCAAAGGGTTCTAATAGTTGGGGACTTCAAGCTCCCGGAGATCGACTGGGTGG